TTTGCATATTCAGAGATTCTGGGAGTTTTAATGAGCTAGGAGTAGATGACTTTTAAGGGTTTTAATGTGGAAATTATACATTTTTAATTGAAAAAAGACAAATTATTGTTCCAATCAAACTATTTGTATATGTCTCAATACGTGTTTAAAGGAGATGTTTAAGGCCCAAAAAGGTCAAATTACGCAACACTTCATAGAAAAGCAATGATTCAAGAAAAGATCAAAAAATGTATACAAATCTTCTTTCCTCTCTAAAATATTGCATCCAGTGGCAACCAGACCAAAGTACCATTTGTAACAATGTCAATTTGTTATAACATCAAACGAACAATAACGCTCAACCAGTAACAAGATATCTGGTTGCAGATATCTTGAGTGTCTTACAATTGCCCTACTTAAATATGAACAGAAATAAGAAACTATAGAGGAAATGTGTCACGTGGTCACCTTTTTTTAGGCTGACCTGGGCCGTCCCAGATTTCTTTCTCACAGTGGCTGCAACTTCCACTTTGCTAAGATGGATGTGCAATCAGGTCAAGGCAGCACACAGTCTGGTCACAATGTTCAGCTACCGCTGTGCCTTATTAAAATCATTTGGAAAGTTTGTTCTGCCACGAAGACTAAAGCTTCATAGCTGCTAGCAGCCCTCGGATATATGGTGTCTGTGTGTGCCCATATTCTGTATGATGGAGGGGAGCTGTCAGTGTCTGCAGGGTGATCATCATCAGCAGCTGTACATCATGTGTATCATCTCTAACAAATGTAGAACTCTAAAAACCTTCAGCTTACTTGTTGTGTTATCATTAAGAAGGGTTGTAAACAGTTTAGTGTCTTGTATCTCAGTAACAAACACAGGTTCCCACTCTTTATAAGAAATCCAGGAGCTTTCCAGAACATTTTCCAGGAGTTTTCTTGACAGTACAGGACAGCACTTGCTTACAAATGGTCATATAATTTACCAGTAGCCCAGTAGTAGGTGGTCAGTGTTTATCGGACACTTTTCACTATCACTTTTCGGCCTGCTCTGTGGGAGCATTATGCATTTAGTGTTACTGTGACAATGATAGAAAAAGTGGTGGATACAACAAGCACTGTGCAACACATGAGGCTTATGCTAGCAGTAATATGTCCAATATAATGAACCATTTGCGTCAACATCACCATTTAAACAGCCTCTCCATGCAGATTCAGAGCAAAATCCATAAAGCACTGGGTGGGTGTTACACCAAAAGCCATGCAGCCCTATGCAGTTGTGGAGGATGCGGGATTTCAGCATTTGATTAGTAATGTGGCCATGATTATATAACAGGGTTCCCACTCTTTTTAAGAAATTATTTTCCAGGGCCTTTCCAAGACATTTCCAGGGCTTTTCTTGACAATATAGGACAGCACTTGCTCACACACATATAATTTACCAGAAAGCTTAGTATTCACTCTTTTTTTCCAGTTTTATATCTCCTTTTTTAATGATTTAGGGTTCATGAAGAAGTGAAGCAGGTTCATTACAGGTAGGTGGTCAGTGTTTATGGGACACTCTGTGTTAGTTAGCTTTCCACTGTTCTCACCATGGCCGATGTCTCTGCAGCGTCTCCAGTGATCTGACTTCATTTTACTACAGTTCTCCTCTAACCAAGGTTTATCTGAGTGAGGGGCTAAAATACAATTCAAAATTTCAAGAACAAAATAGATTATTTCCAGGATATTTGGTCATTTTAAACAATTTCCAGGTGTTTCCATGAGTGGCTGGGAACACAGTATAAGAACAAAAACAAAGCAGCTTTTTTTGTTTGCACCAAAACACAAACCTACTCTTTTAATTAAAATTTGACAATAAAGTGTGTGTTAAGTGTCTGTGTTCCTTATGTTATTAGGCAGAATTTTGATAAGACAAACTTTTAGACAAGTGAATAAAAAGCATGTTGAAATTGGCAGCCGACGTGAAAAAACCCAAAACCGAGATATGAACCGAAGCGTGAATCTAACGAACATCCCCAGTGTTCTTTACACAAAGTGACAGTTCTCATTCAGTTTCACAGAAAGCTCTGTTCTTAAACAAGACTAAATAAATCCATGAAAGACCTCTGAGAAAAAGACAATGCATACAAAATCACAAAGAATGGGTCAGTGGTAGCTGGTGCCATCATTATTAGCCATATTTATTATTAGTAATTGGCTACCTCAGCTGTAATGCAAACTAATGCTGATAGTAATGAACTCAGTTAACCTAACATTAACATAACTAACTAGCTACTAATGAACCCAATTCCAATTGGCCCGTTAGCTAGAACATAGCTATTGCTCTGTATCTAACAGCTTTCTATCATCGCCACCATCGGCAAGTCAAGACACCGGAATACACATCTGGATAACAACACCTGCATAATAACACCTGGATAACAAAGATAACCAGTGCTAGCTAATATGCGCTGTCAGTTAATAAAGAGAGCTCCCACAGTCCGGCTGCAGCGGCTGCTTGTGTAATTCACATTGGGTCTTACCTCGGCAGCCGGCTAACGTGAATGAACAGGAGTACCACAGGGATGCTTCTCAAAAATCAGTGCAAAAGCCACGACGAGCTCTGTCGGTGAAGCGCGACTTTCTTGGCATCTCACTGTGAGTAACGGACGCTGGACCGCCGTCTGACCAGCCGTATCAACCCCCGGCAGCGAAGACAGGTCTGCTGTCTGTCCGCTGAAGCTCAAATGCTACTCCGTATGAAAGGTTGTTGTCCTGTGACAGGCGAGCGGGCAGGAGGAGGCAGGAGGAGGCAGGAGGAGGCAGGGTGAGGGAGGACAGCCGCTGGCTCCGCTCCTCTACGATAACTGGCTAGCTTCTTCCGGGTCAACATTTTCAAAATAAGAGCTTAGCCGCTGTCAGGGCTCCCAAAGTACGTCAGCAGGGGTCAGCCCAGTTACAATGTGTGAACTGAATTTTAAGTCCAACAGTCAAGTTTTATTGTTAGAGCTATATGTATCAAAAAATGAGTTTCCTTTACGTGAGTAATTCATAAATCTTAATATCCATTTATTTAAACAATTATTTAAATGAGAGGAGAGATGTCTCTGGTGGTCACCTGAGACATGACAAGTAGAAACAGATTAAGTAAGGACTAAAAGCATTGGGAACTCTGGTTTAATATTTAACAATGCATCAGACTGTCTGAGGTGCAGGGGTGATGAATATAAAATGAGCACCAGTGTGCAGAAATGTGATGCATTTATGGGGAAACAGCAAGTCAGGGTTAGGATTAGCACCCTAGAGGGCACTTTATCTTGTTTTGTCCATTGGAAGAGCACCCTAGAGGGTACCTAATCACATTTTGTCCACTGGAATGACATCCAAGAGGGCACTTCAATACATTTTCTCCACTGGAAGGACAACCTTGAAGGCACTTTTGCTGCAATTTTTCAAACTTCACTTCACTTTTTCAAGCACTCCTCCAGTGCAAAGCATTGTATTTCATAAACTGATCATATGTTATATCTTAACTGGAAAAATTACTCTTAAAGCTAAAGTATGAAGTATCTCAAAATTTTCTTGTACTACTAAAACACACTTGAGTAAAGGTTATTTGCAACATTGTCATATACTGTGGCACAGCAGTCAGATGGGGTGGTGAAGCTCCTGCTTCATATATGCTTTAAATATTGCTTAAAACTAAATAAATACAAGAATACTGACTCATTGACCTTGATATTCGATGTACCTTATATCTCTCAACCTTTTTGGTGTCCAGAACCCCCAAATTGATACACATTGTGCAGCTGACCCATATTTGATAAGATGTAGTCTCAGGGATCC